CCAGCCATGCTGGCTGGGGAACTCTGGAAGTTGAAGTGCACACATCTGAAAGCTGCCAAGGTTGAGAAACGTTGGCATAACGCATGGGAGGAGAAAATTGCACTTTTGCATGGCAGCATTTGGAGCCAATTGAAAACAAAGGTGACAGAAGCCTCACACGTGAGATGGCTAAATATCTCCGACGTCCCTCTGCTGCAACAGAGAAACAACCAAGACAGAAACCCTGAAGGGGGTTTCCATGTTACAAACTTCAGGGTTGGCAAATAACCCGTTTAGATTTGGATTAACATTGCAATGGGACTTGAGGGGGAAGGACAGCAAGAGATAAGCCCTGGACAGATGGGGCTCCTAATTCCTGTGTAAACAGTGTCCACTCCCAGGCCTCTTAGGCAGCACCATCTGGGTTTTATCACTGCTTCTTTAAACTCCCCCTTCTCCTTGTCTCTGTTCTCATGCTGGCTCTCAAGAGGAGAAGGAGAGATTAAAATAGCTATGTGTCTTTATTGTTAGCAGGGGTAGGGCTGGAACCAACCAACATGGCTATTTCAGTCAAGTCAGTCAAGAAAGGACAGAAAATCGTTATGCCCTCTTGCAATCTCTGTCAGACAGCTACTGTGTAAAGTTACTCAGAAGTAACTCTGAATGGGTTAAAAAAACATGAGATTCCTGCACAATGAAGGAAGTCCTTGTAGTTATTAAAAATTTAGTCTGGATGAGTTAAAAGAACATGAGGTCCTTGCAAAGTTAGCTATGAGAGCTAGTAGCTATTAACAAATAAGGACCAGTGGGAATCTCTCCTTTGCCAAGATAATTTCATTTCAAGCCATTCATTTTGTTTCTTTCCAAGGAATGCCTTGCAAAAGATCAGATGCAAGCCACAGCTGTAATCCTATGCGCTTGCCTTAAGCCACGTTTAATTAGCCATATATAGCACTGCACAAGAAGAGCCAGAAATAGGTATTTGCATTTAATGTATGTCACCTTCAGGTTTTTTTTTTTAAGCAGCTGAAGAGGGACTGATCACTAGTTTACATCTGATGTGAAACAAAATTTTAACATACCTTCCTCTTTTGTGGCCTTGAGGAAAATATCTTCTCTGCAACCCATATTTGCTTAGAGGAAAAATTGGCCATTGGTGCCACTGACCCACGTTCTTCCATCCCAATATCAGAGAAGGATTTTTCCCTCTTTCAAGACTCCCACACAGGAGCAAAAGCATCAAATACCAGCCCTACCCCTAGTACACCCCTTCTCTCTAATCAATTATCCTTTATAGTAATCAGTTGTCCTCAACAGTGTTGAGTTTCAGTGTTTCAGGAACAGATTCAGTGTTCCTCAACCTCAGCAACTTTAAGATGTGTGGACTTCAATTCCCAGAAACCCACCACCATCATGCTGGCAGAGGAATTCTGGGAGTTGAAGTCCAGTCACCTTAAAGTTGCTAAGGTTGAGGAACTCTGCTTTATTTGATAGTATTTGCACGAAAAAGTTATCTTATGCATTAAAGAGGAAGATGCATTAATATTACAATATTTAGCCTTAGGAACAATCTAGACCAGTGTTCCTTAAAGTGTGGTCCTAGGACTCCCTGGGGTCCCCAAGACCCTCTCAGAGGGCCGCGAAATCAAAATTATTTGCCAGCTTATGTTGAAAAATAACACAATATTAAAATCCCATCAAACAATTCCGAGAAGTAGTAGCGGCAGCAGATGTGTCAGTTTTAATTTTTAATATGGTAAATATCGATAAATATGACCCATACTAACAAAAGCTCTTTTGGGGTCCTCAATAATTTTTAAAAGTGGGAAGGGGTCCTGAGACAAGAAAGTTTAAGAAACTAGACAATCTTTTCTTCAGCCTTCGGCATGGACCTCTGAACTAGCTGCCTGCAGGTTTCCAAACTCCTAACCACGAGGACTCGATACTTGAATTAAAAACATGAAACCCGAGAATCTCAATGTTATAGAGATACTTGTTTCAGTCTAAGGTTCAGTTAAAAAAGAAAATCTGGTATGATGTCCAGTCCATCTATGATTTTAAAAAGTCCAAAAAAAAGTGTGGTATTAAGTATGTGATGTATTAAAGGCAGCATTAATGTGGAATTTCAAGAAAAGCCTAGCAAGGATGGAAGTCAGAACATTCAAGTCTCACCTTGTTTCACCCCATAGATAGACCAAGGCTGCAGTCCTAAACATACGTATTTGAGAGAAAGAATGACTAAATACAGTTGTATCTACTTCTGTGGAATGTGAATAAAATTGCATTAAAATAATCAGATTTTGTTGTAGAAAACAGAAGAGGGTGCTTCTGAGCCCATGCAGAGTGTGTTTTGTTAATGAGACAACATTTTAAAAAGTCACACTATTCCTGCAAAGCATGTACAGAGTGTCTTTTTCTGGGAAGTGAACTTTTCCTTCCCAGATTTTACATACATTACATGGCTTTAAAGTAAAGGTAGATCTTAAACAAGAGACAATTTGGTGTTGTGGTGAAAGGCAGCAGGTTTGAAACAAAGAGACTCTGAGTTCTAGTTCTAGCCTTAGGTAGGGAACCAGCTGCATGAGTTTGGGCCAATCACTCTCTCTCAACCCTAGGAAAAAGGCAATGGAAAACTAATAATAGTATGTTATGGCTCAACATCATCTCAAATAAGATTCAGTGCAACGTCTTTAAAAAAACAACAACACGATAATAATTTATTAAATTTATATGTCTCTCATTATGTATGTAAGGTATTCTGTTTCATGTATTTATAAAATGAACTGACCAAACTTTAACCAAACCCAGAATTGCTGACCCTGGGAAATTCATTGACTATACCTAAATATTTATTTGTTTGATTTTTTAAAAATTAATTATGTACCCTCAAGTTGTTTTCAACTCTAGCGACCACATCGATAGACATTTTTGATGTCCAACAACTTATATCCTGCCTCTTCCTAGGCATCTAGGTAGCTCATGATAAAATAAAAAGCATTAGCCGCCATAAAACAAGGATTCAGATCCACCAAATAAAAGCCATTCTACTGGCCTCTAAACTACAAGAGATTCCTCCCTGGATTGGCTGCTTCCATTTCAGCTGCATCCTCTGCCCCAAAGCCCTGAAGGGAATGTCTGGAGTGCTTCCAGAAAGGACACGACAGCTTCACCAGGATGCGATTGGGGTGGGTGGGTAGGTAGCTCTTCCCCAGGGAAGGGTCTGCCATTCAGAAGGTCTGATTCCTGGCTCCCTCCTCCTTGACTTCTCCTGAAAGATGCTTTCTCAGTCTGCCCTGCATGATGCAGATGGGCAGACTCTACCTGCTCAGGTAGAAACATTGGGATCAGTTCAATATGTTCTTGTTGCTTGGATTCCTACTTCTGAACAGAGAATTCAGCCAGCAGGATGTAGGACTGGGGAGAAGCGATCAACACGGCCACCAGTCTGTCGCCAAGGCCACAAGGCAACACCCTATGAGCAAGGGCAGGGAAGGAAGCCCAGCCAAGATCACATTCGAACGTTTGGTTCTGAGGTTGGGTGGATGTCCAGCTTTCGGTTGGATAGGAAAAGCCAGTTCCCTACTGACTTGTTTCATCTTACTCTCTTCTACTCTGTTGTGAAGATTGAACAGCTACGCGGACCCCCCTCCCCAACATTTATAAACAGAATACCGTAGATGATTCTCTGCATAGGCACAAAATGTACACAAAGCTTCTCCAAACCAAAAGGCAAAAAGAATAAAAACGATCTGCGTTATTAAGTAACTTTGTTCTATATATAGATGAGAATTGGCAGCTTTTCGAAACTGCTGGAGAAAGACTTCTGTGTAACTTGGAAAAGCGTGTCCTCTCTCTCAGTCCAATCAATGTGCCACCGGCTTACCTGTGTGCTTGCCACCTCCGTGCCCAAAACAAACGTCCAGCTCTTTCTCTGCGTGAACCCACGTCCTTTGCCGAAACAGGGAGAAGAACCCCCAAATCCTAGACCTCACCCTCTCACCAGACCCTCATCTGCCTCTCACATCATGCGCTCTGCCAGCGCCAGGAAAAAGTGTTAAATTCCTTGCGCTGCACACTGCAGCTCATCAGGGTATTATTTCCAGCTTCCTCTTAAGGCAGTCATAGAACTGTTTATAATAAGACGAATTAAAGGCACCAAGTGTGTTCCCTTCCCCTTGTTATTCTCCAGATGGTTTGTGGAATTAACCCTTTTCCTGCATTCATATGATACTCTGAATTGGGTGGACCAATCAAATGGGCTGGGTTTTCACAACTTGCACTCTCTCACACGCATAGCTAACCAAGCCAGCATTTTATGTAAATACAGCCACTGGTCTTTGGCTACCTGGTGAAGTATATGTATGTAAATGTGTGTGTGTGTGTGTGTGTGCATGTAAGCATGTATTGTATTTGGGAGATGAAGAGCACACCATATAGAATACAGATGTCAAAAAGAAGGAAAGGAGGTAACAAGGGAGACTAAGAGTCATGCTCTGGTAAACTTCTCCAAGGTAGGAATATACATATCAGGTAAAAATTTGCTCTGTTTCAATCTTTATTGGGGGACAGTTTCTGGTGGAAATGTTACACAGACCATTTGCAAAGTTAAATCAGACTTACGTTCTCCATTGTATGTGATTCCCCGGGAGAGGTCTTCCATTTACTGTTCTTTAGCATTTAAATATCCTGTGCCCACAAGAGCACTTACAGTAGTTCTTCCAGTCAGATCATGTATTTTTGCAGCCTTTCTTGGAATAACCATGGAATCGTTGAATTAAAAAAAAAAAGATGCATGCATCTCCGGAGATTTTTTTTAAAGAGAGGAATTAAATGTCTATCAGACTTCAACTGTTCCTGACATGGATCTCCTGGGAATGAAGTGTCTAAATTCGCTTCCACCAGAATTCTTGTAAATCCCTACCTTAAATATCACATTCTTTATTTTCATGGAAAAAAGAAGTAAGCATTTAGTGCTACAGTTCTCAGTGGGAACCAGTATGTGCCCACAGACACTCCCTTTGGCATTCGTTACTCCCTTCCCTCCTATGGATTTATAATTTGGTTGTGTTTTAACTGGGGAGGAACTTGGAGCTAACAGTCTCTGGCTGATCCTGTTTGGGCTTGGAAGCTAAGCAGTCTGGGGCTTGAATAACACTTGGATGGGAGACTACCAGGGAACAGTAGAGCTATAGACTAGACTAGGAAGTAGAAAAACATCTGGACAAGACAAAGGCAAAGAAACAGATGGATGGGCTTCACTGGGAGACTTTATGCATTCGTTCAGAAACGTGAGGATATAGGGCATTCCTCTAAGCATTTGTTGAAATGGGCATACTGTTGGCTTGCATAGGGGCAAATCTGTGAATTGATGTTTGAGCCTCAGACCCCTCCCCTCACTTGAACATACTTTCTCGGCCAAATTATAATTGAGGTCTTGGGGTTCAGCAAGCTAGGTTTTCTTCTTGCAGCTCTGCAAAATCAATATCCCAACCTCTTAACTCTGAGCTACACAGATTCTCCACTATCGCAAATTATTATTTTCTGACTTCTCTGATCAGTTCTCTTCTGGGTAGGATGGTGCTGTTGGGAACAAAATTTACAGTTTTGAAAAAGTGGCTTTTGGTGGGGGGAAGCCACCTCTGCCTTGACCTGTGCTCTTTATCAGTTTATTGGTTCTGGGAAATGGGTGTTTTGCAAATAGCTCATTTGTGAATGGGGACACTTTCTGGCCAATGTTTGAATAAAAGAGCCTAAAATTCCCTTAAAATTTCAGATGTCTCCCTGACTGCAAATGGCGAGGTGTCTCTTTGTAGCCTTTTATTTACAGAGATGCATGGGAAAATCTCCAGTATAAATAGCTCTGAGGTGCTGACTCTCCAGATCCGCTCCTACTTTGAAACCAATTATTTTAGCCAATGAACATAAAGGCCCTATTGTGCTTGAATGCAAGTACTTCCATCTCTGTGTAAAGGGGGGTGGGTGGCCATTTTTTCTTCTCAGCAGCACCCCCTCCCTGGTACTTCAACAAAATTGCATCAGAAAGAAGATGGAAAAGAAGATGAGATGCTGACGATGCCAGAAGCAGGAGCTGAAAGACTCTCATGCTGACAAGGAAGTGATGTGTGGTCCTTTGGATCTCACCCCTTGGATTTTGGTTTAAAGCATAATATTTACTAGCTGTATAGAATTTATCCAGTACAAATTGGCATTCATTTTACGTTAGAAGACTTGCTTGGGATTTACTGTTTGCTGAAGCTGCTATTAATTTTTTCCCATAGAAGTCCCAGGGAGAGAATCAATTACTTATACCTATTTTAAACTATGACATTCTTGGGATAAAAATCCTTTGGCAGAAAAGATGGGAGGTTTGGCTGGACTAGTATGATAGATGGCATTGAGAGATGGAGAATCCAGCTCTGAACAACTGAACTTACTGAATAATTTTTCCAGATTCTTGCTAAATTTACTTTGCCTAGAATTGGCCCCTCACACTGTGTTTTTGCTGGCAATGAGATAAACCAAATTAGCACATTCAGTCCTGGCAAAGAGTGGTAATCCCCAATAACCAGCTTGCTGGCCAGGGTTGCTGTGACTTTAACATGGAACATTGTACACAGGTATAAGTGCGGGACTCTACAGGTTTTCCTCGCCTTATGTGAATTCGCTATTATGCAACTGATAATTTTCATCTAAGAATTTGTTTTATGCAAAAAAAAAACAACTGTTAAGCAAATTATGTCAGCAATTTATGCCAGCATAGTCAATTGGCACCAAAGGTCTGAAACATGCTAAGACTTCTTCCCCCCCAAAACCGCTTGAACATTTTCCCACCAAAACACCTTTCTGCCCCCACTCACATATTTACCATTGTGTGGTGCGATTGTTCTAGTTGTGCATCCTGCCTCCTGCTTACTTTCATGCTTGCAATAGTTACTGTGGGGTCAAAACAGCCATCAACTTCTTGTCCAACAATCTTACCTAAGATAAATAAGAAAAGGACCTCTCTAACACTAGAAACAAAGTTGGACATATTACATTGTGCCAAAGCTGGTGAAGGGTCCTCAGCCCTAGGACAAGCTTTTAACTTGGACAAATCTACTGTGCACAACAGGATGAAGAATGCTAATAAAATTCATTGTGTCATGATGTACCTCTTACAAAATATGATACTTTACCCACAACCCGCTTTTTTTCCTACTAGTTCAGTGTCCCACTTTATGCAAACTTGTTTTATGCAAAAAGCAAGGGAAGCCTATAACTGGGGTATCAGTAAAAATGCCAGACTGATAGACATATGATTTTGGGGGCACAATCATGGGGATGATCTTATGTCCAAGCCTCATAGAAATGAATGGGAGTTGCAGTACAGTGTAATAGATACTCTTGGAAATGCATGGATAGTGTCATAATAAAATATAATCGCTAGGTAGCACTAAGTTTTATATTAACCGAGTGAGAAATTTCCTATTGCTGTTCTGTTCTCTTTGGAAAGAGGTTATGAGCCTATGTAATTTGTTGACCTACACAGGAACACACCAAAACTGTAGACAGCAAGGAAGATGACCCTGATGAGATATACAGAAGCTGTTGCCTAGGCAAAAGGATGGATGGATGGATGGATGGATGGATGGATGGATGGATGGATGGATGGATTGATCATGTGCCATCAATTCGTTTTTGACTCCTAGTGACAACATAGATAGATAGATTTTCTCCATGATGGCAAAAGGAGCTGAAACATTTTTTAAGTCCACAACGTCCAGATAACATTTGGAAGTGGCTCAGGTAGACACCTTCCTAATTCACTGAACTATAAGAAGGAAGAGGAAGTACCGCACAATCAGATTTGCAAGATTGTTTTATCATAGCCAGTCTCAGTAAAAGTATTTTAGCTTCCTGTGGAGTGGATTTCATGGTCTGGTCTACCTAGTGGGGTTGAAAAAAATGGATTTGAGAAATATGATGATTAACTCTCCTCTCAATATCCCTCTGTGTTCAAGTGCTTACAAAGTTCCAGCTACTGAGAATCCTGCCGTATCACAATTCCTGATGGGTGAAGTTCTGTAAATACATTTATAGATTTAACTGAAGATCTCCACACTACATACAGTAGATATAACTGGGAATCAGGCATGTTGGGTTATTGTAGACATGGGGCATCTAACTACTAATAACATCAAAAAAGCCTGCCTGGAGAATATAAATGCCAGCAAAGTCACAGATAACCCCACTGTTAACGTTTCAGTGGTAAGTACTGAAGCCAACTGGTATAGACCAGCTCAGGGATGGGGAACTGAATCCTGTCCTTCTGAAGCCTCCTTTGGGAATTTCAGCACCTTGGTTGTGACAAAAGCAACCCAGCTAATGGCAGTTCAGTTCCTGTGCTCTAGACATCTTTACCACTTTATCCATTTTACACTAACTGTAAGGACCCTCAGGTATGGAGGCAGAGTAAAATAAACTGCAAAGAAAACGGGAGACAGAAAGACTCACAAATTGCTGTGCAGGTTTAAATAATCACTGGAACTACAGGATATGCTTAGACAAATTTGTAATGGGAAAGCAAATCAGAATACTCACACCACTCCCTAGAGAATCAGCTCATTCCAAAATAGTCTGACCTAGAAAATAAATACTATACCTCTTCAGATTACCTGCTAAAAGTAATGGTGAACATTTCTAAAACTAACCCAATTTAGCAAAACCTAACCCAGCAAAAACTAACCCAAGAACTTTCAGACAATGTTCTATTTCTGAATATTGAGTATTTAACAGAAAACAATTGCATTTTTTTTCCCCCCAAAGTTATCGTCAGGTAATACCTGAAAATCCCATTTTGTCCAGTGCGATTGGCCAGAACCATCTTGTGATAACAGTGATGCTACTCTTCAGGTGATTGCATAATCTCATTTTGATTTTTGGAGGCCTTTGAGATTTTAAGATGAGTGATTCCATGAATGGTTTCAATGGTAATGCTGTTGCTTTAAATAAAAGAGGACAGCCGTATGGATAATGTCATTATGTAATTCAGCCACTAGGTGGCACAAGATTTCAGTTGTATCTTGTGGACTCAGATCTTTCCTCCTCTTTTTGCTCTTGCTAAAGGGAAACAATACATTTCTCTGTCACTTCTTGATAACTAGGTCTTTTCTGTTTATTATTCTTTCT